GGCAGCCTGGGATCGAACCACCGACCTTCTGATTAGTGGCTGACCTGCTCTGCCACCTGAGCTACAGCCACCCCTACCTTACCATAATACCATTAAATATCCCAAATTTATGCATATTGTTGTCATTGAACTGTGGCTGTAAATTTTCTCCTTAGCCAAACTTGACTAAAAGAGAAATTGTCCATTTGACATCAAATACAAAGGGCTTTTTTTCCTGGTACTGTTTGCTTGGATTTGGGTCATAAGATGAAAATAAATTAATAAATCGAGGTGCTGTTGCATCAAACATTACAAGCAAACTTAGCAGAAAACAAATTCAGTGAGTTGAAAGCTTTTATTTATATTTTAGATAATAAGACAAGAGCAACATTCACAAAAAAATGTTTTATGCTCATATAAAAAATGAAATGTAGAATCAAAGAAATCTTTCATTTCTTGAATGTCCGGTGTCCATTTTCCCTTTCGGCCACACTCGCCTGAAAGGAAAGGAGAAAATTCTTTTGAAAATTAGGTCAGGTCTTTGCCTGCCTTTTGAAAGCAATGACAGATGCATCAGTGAATCTAAACATTGAATTATTCAGGAGAAAAACTTACAAGAAGTCCTTTCACTCTGTACATTTTGGCAAAAGGTGATTCCTCTGCACAACCGAAAACACTGCAAGGTGCTTCGACGCGTGGGAACTCTTCAACCATCTTTTGTTGAGGAAAAATTAAGAAACATTGCAGTGAAAAGCAACAGCTGCTAATGTACAGATAAAGAGTTGCTGTTAGACTAATGCTTACATTGCCCAGTGTGTCTGAGAAGTTGTCCAGATCCCTCTTCCCTCCTGGGCTCAGTCCGTATGACCAGTGCTGACAGCAGCCCTGTGGAAACACCGTCCCTGCGAGCAGCAGCCACAGTGCCAAGATTTTTGCAGCCATTCTGAGGATAAAGCTTCACATTTTGCACGTAAGCATGTTAATGATAGAATTTTTCCCCCATTTAACTCCAGATATTGTTTCAGTCCTTATCACATTTCAGATAAGACCTTACCTTCTGTGCATTAGACAAGAACTTCTGATCTCTTCTGCTGTCCTTTGTGAAGTCTGCTGCACATGATTTTCCAAGATTTATATAACTGTGCTTTGTTTCCTCCAACACTTCACTACAGGGGGTCACAAAGTGGGATTAAGCAACACTTGGCAACTCTGGCAACCCACAGAGCTGTTTGAACAATTGCACCTGATGTGTGATTTTTGCAGTTTCTGATCATTTTATGATGTACTTTGAACTGACTTCACAAGATATATGACAGTTATTCCAGAACTGCTTTGGTATGTTTTTCACCTCATGTGTACCCTGATGTACACAAACATCTGTTTTACAGAGCTGCACGTCTCTGGGCAAAGATGCTATGTTGATGTGAGAGAATGGGCAGGCTGCTTTGAACGGATAGTAAGGCAACAGTAACCGAAATAACCAATTATAACAACCAGGGTATGCAGAAGAACATCTGCAGCAGCAGAAGACCACACCAGGTGCCACTACTGTCAGCTAAGAGGAGGAAACTGAGGCTACAGTTTAAACTGGCTCACCAAAATTGGTCAGCATAAAATTTGCAAAACATTCTGATTCACCAGTCTCAATTTCTGTTGCAACATTTGGATGGTAGGGTCAGAATTTGGTGTAAATAATGAAAGCATGAATGCATCATGCCTTGTATCATGTCCATTGACCGTGTTCATCTCTTTTGACCATAATGTACCAGCAGGATTATGCGCTAAAATCTCCTGAAAGTGGTTTCTTTAAGATGAAAGTGAGCCACTGGGGTTAAATGGTCTCCACAGTTCTTTGTTTTGTCCCTAGCTGGCGGTCAGCAGGGGAGGTCGAAGCAAATACGTCGCTGTGGGTGCCGTAGGGTTTCCATCTTGGTCAACAATGCACTTCCAGTCATTGCGATCTGTGTCCTTGACCTTTGCTTGCTTGATGGTTAGACATCGTTGTTTAAGATTGTCTTCAATTTGCTTGATCCAAGTCGTCTTGGGTGCATTACACTCGATTCTCCAGTGGGCGGTGCAGAAGAAGGCGATATGGCAGGTGATGGTTGCTCATGCAGCAGACATGGCCAAACCATTGGAGTCGTCACTTCAGGGTCAGCTCTTCCATTTAGGGTTGCTGGTGACATTGACTACGTGTCACGCTGTTGCTGAGGCGGTCATGGAGGGACACTCGGAGAATCTGACGCAAACGGCCCATTTGGGAGACCTTGAGCTTGTTGAGGTCGTGCTTGAGGGTGACCCAGGGCTCGGATCAGTAGAGAAGAATGGGCAATACCAGTGAGCAGTACAGGCGGATTTTGGTGATGAGGGTGACGTTTGTCTTTTTCCAGATACACCATCGTAAGGAGGGGAATGCCGCCGCCGCTTGACCGATTCTTGAGTACATTTCCGCTGTTGATGCCACTTTCTTTTCTTGCATCAGAGAGCCAAGGTCTTTGAATTCCCGCAGTTGTTCGATTTGCACGGTGGCTGCATGAGGTCTTCTCAGTTACCAGCTTTCAATCTAACAGAGCATCTTTGGGATGCAGCAGAATGGGAGATTAACATCATAAATGTGTAGCCAACAAATCTGCAACAGTGCGACACTACCACCCTGGTGCTAATAAGGTGTAACTAATAAAGTGTCCAGCGAGTGTATGTTTTCCTAATACTCACAACATAGACCTTTAGTCTTTCCAGCTGTTGGTTGTCAGATGTTGTATTTCAAAATATATTCCAAGTGTGTAGAACTATTCGGCTGATAGGAACATTATCCAGTTTGCTCATAAAGACAAGTGCAACTAATGACAGCTCAAGCTGTAGACAGCTGTGCTGAGTCATAGGCCAAAATGTCTAAAAACATTTGCAAATTTTAACAAAGAATGACAAATGCTCATTCAAATGAGCACAAGCAGCAGTTCTGAAGGATGTGACATGTTGTTTAGATGACTGTCATTCGAGAACTGAGCCAAAGCAACCGAGAAAGAAAAACAGATGACAAAGACTTTTTCTTCATAGCAGTTTATTTATAACAGTCATTTATGGAAACATATTTCCATGGTCGAGTGCAATATTCATAGACAGGGATAACTACACAACTCCCTGCCTCAAACAAATCAACCCCTGCCCCATATTGCATTCAGTGAGATGTATTAAAATAAATAACCATAGCTCTTCCATTGGTTTTCACACTCAGGGTGAAATACACATTATGATTGCCTTCATCATTCATTCTCACAGGCCGGGTACCTTCCACTTCATTGAGTGAATAATATTGCATCATTGGTGCAGCTTCGAGCTACAGCTAGAGAAACTTCACTGGTCAAAGACACAGCTTTCCCCCTCCCCCCTCACATGCAAACGGACACTGTGGAACAAGAACTGAAGTTAGATCCTTCAGAAAACAGCTGACAACACCTCTGTCTACTCTAAGAATGACTTTTTGGGGAAGTTTTGGAAGCACTGGATTTTAGATTTTAGATCTTTACACAACATTACATAAGAAAAGCACCAAACCTTTTTGGTGAAAGGATATACCACGTTACACGTTAACATATACATGTGCAAACAAGTTTAAAGCATGATTAAGTGACATACATAAATACACGAAGCACGTTTCCAGGCAAACCCCACTTTAACAACATGAAAATGGACTCTCCTGCCGTACTGGGGATCGGATAAATAACGGATGATGTGCATGAACATTACGATAAGCTTTGCCACATCCGAATGCATGCAGTTGTGGATCACTCACACCTCGGGTTAATAAGAGGTAGATTCACAGAGCACAAAACCAGGGAAAGCTTTTTTTTGTTTTGTTTTTTAGGAGACAGAAAAACATCAAACTAGAAAAACAAACCTCACAGCTATACATCTTGTATTGCATACTCGAGCTGTGTTTAAAACGAGCCTGTAGCATAGTTTTATGTTGCTCTAACAGCACTTTTAGCCTGTTAGACTGTGCTAGTGTATGGCTTTGGCTTGCATTATTTCTTTTATAATAATATGTTGTATATCCAGCAATATTAAGTTACATACTTAAAGAAGAATATATATATTGACACAGTTATTGGTAATTAACCCTCTTCCATTTCTGCTACAGCAGCATGCAGTGAAGCTCAATGCTCTGAGCTTTACTGCTCAAAGGTAAGCTGACTTTGATTCCTATTAACATGTCAAGTAATATGAAATAAAAGTATGAAACTAAATGAGTATAGTCACTTGATTACATCCAGACACATCTACACAAACTAGGAACCTTTTACTTTTTTGGTGATAAACGCAGCTGAACATTCTCAAAACACCCTACCATACAAACATACATAAGACAACCCTGGATAAATTCTAGTGCAATATATTTAAAGCTAACATAATATTGGTGGAATGCCAGGGGTGTGCATACGTATACCTGTACTGCACTGATAGGTATAGAGAGATTGAAAAGGAGCGACTTGGGGAAAGCTGTGGCCCGCATTGGACTTGCAGGTGTGGTGTTGAGTTATCTAACACTCTGTGACATGTGCAGAGGGGTCAGCATCTCTTCAAAAATGGCTCCCTTGACATTGGACCCTCTCAGGTTAGCTTCTTGTAGATCGCAGCCAGACAGATCACAGTTCTGGACAGGAGAAAAAAAACAAAAAACAAAAAAAAAACAATAAAAATTCCTAAGTAATGAGGCGAGCCTTACCGTCTTTGGCCTGTGCTGTTAACACTGTGTGGATTGTGACAGATCGACCTGCTTCTTGTAAATTTAGTGAAGCTTTTAATCATTTACAAATGTGCTTCAGGTCAGTGTCTATTTGCTCCACAATCATTCGAAAAGCACAAAGTTTGAGATCTTCAAGTTAAAATGAACATAAAATGGAGAAAGAGCGATAAATTAAACCTGTTTTTGCATGTCATCTAGTTTTAAGATTTCAGGAAACATAAAAAGTAAAAAACAAACAAACAAACAAAACAAAACAAAAAACGTGGGACTTTGCTTTTCGCAAGCTGCATCACATATTGGGAATTTTATTCAGATTCGCAGTGTCATTATTTCTGCTCCTGATTTTGATGTCATAAACAAAACCTGCCACCTGAGCCCACTTTATTCTGTGCTTTTAAAGATAATCCTTGACTCACCTCGAGATCTGTCCCTGCTAAAGTAGCTCCCCGCAGATTACAGTTCTTCAGCTTTGCATTTTTGAGAGTGGCCACACGCAAGTTGATACCGGTCATTTGGCTTCCTTCCATGTCGACTCCTTTCAGGTTAGCGCCTGATTTAAAGAAAAAATAAAAATAATAATAATAATAATAAAAATCGTACAGTTAAAACAAAAACAAAAAATAAAAACTAAATTAAGGCTGCCTCCTTTTTCATCAGAAAAGCTTTTAAAGATTACCTTCCAGATTGGCCTTCAGTCCAGATGGATCTTCAAAATTGCATCCTTTGAGAGAAGCTCCCTCAGCATTGGAACACAGCATCTTCACCCCTTGCAAGTTAGCACCCTGCAACCAGCAGAGCAAAGAGCAAAAGTTTTTATGATAGTCTGACCTAACCTCTACAAATTATTAATAGAAAGATTATGGAGAAAAAAAGTGCTGTTTTTTTTAAATAAGCTGAATGTGAGAGGAAGATTTGTAGCAGTATCTTTAAGATATTCAAGAACAGAGTAGTCCTTTTTTCTACACAAGTGAGGGGGCAGCAGATAGAGACCAAAAATCCTAAGACAAGTACATTTTTGCATCACCACAAGGCCAACATTTAAAAAACATAACAAACAAAAAAATAGCACATTAAGATACACGGAAGGAGGAAGCATTTACAGACGTGAATGGATATGTATAAGATTTAGCCTGAACAACACCAGAGCCGCCACGCTTACATCCAGGTTGGCTCCAGAGAGATCAGCCCGCTCCAGATTGGAGCAGCACAGGTTGGCATGTGTCAGATTGCAGCGGCTGAGGTTAGCCATCTTGAAATTGATGTAGCGCAGGTCAAGCCGGGACAGATCGGCGCCACTGAAATTGAGTCCCTAGAAACATTAAGAGCAATAGGGTCAAGTATAAATTTGATCAGATGATATGAGAGTGAATTAAAACGGTTTCATCTAACCGTACCTGA